ACGCTAAAGAAAAGTTCTACCAAACATCTATGTGCTGGCAAAGAATTTAGATGCCAAGTTGAAAATTGGTTTCGTTATCAATCGGGGCCACAACTCATAAGCCATTTTTTTTGTGGAAAGTAATCTATTGCCCACTTTACAAGGTGGTTCAAGATAAGTTCTTCTCACTAAAGACCAAGGATATGATTTAATCGAAATTTAAATTAATCTCAATTCCAATAATGCTAATTGTCTCTATATTGAAAACTTAACATCAACTTTAATCCTATTTATGAGACTTGACATAAACGAAGGATTCAGTCGTTTTGAATCATTTGAAAAAGAAAAAAAAAAGTACCGAACAAGTACAAATAATCATAATGAAGAAAACTGATTCTTGTAATCGACTCTTAATTTATTAGAAATTATACTCGTTTATTGTTGGTTCGTTTCTTCTTTTGTATTATAGGAGATGCGGACTAAATGATAATGTCTTGAAGATTTAATCAATACAAATTATCAAATCTTCTTATTTCATTGAGGATGGTCTGTAAGCCTTATAAGGTCTTCAAGCAACTTGCCTTGGGAACTTCCACGCCCTCCTCGAATACCTGCCCAGTCAAGGAATTGGTTCGGAACGAAAAACATGATCTCCGTCTTTATTTTTTTATGCTCTTAAATGAAATTGTGTTATGAAAGATAAAATAAATAAATAAAAAGTAAGGATATCTTTACCCCAGTTCCATCCCGTTGCTATTCTCCTTTCGAAAGGACATTCCCTCGTCCTATATTTCATTGGAAGTATTATTTTTAATAATATCAAATACTTTATTTTTGAAGGACCAAATAGAATACAATGGAAACAATATTGGTGAATTCTCATAAATTCATAATTAAGGGAAGCTATGGCCCACAAGAAACATTGAAGCATTGTATTGTGTGAGTATATAAAATATACTCCCAACCTTTTTCAGATAAGCCATTAATAAAATCATTTAAATGGACATTGGAATAGGAATGTCCATGTTGTCGAGTCAATTTTGTTAGCACTTAAATATGTATTCTAGCATTTGAAATGAAGAAGCCTAACGATGAAATCAGTAGCCATCTTAGTCACATTGCCCAACGATCTAAGTTCGTTGTACGACTTCAAAGAAAAACTCACACAACATCAAGCTACTATCTTAGCTATAGAGTACGCTCTTGATAATTTCGTATCAATTTTTTCTTGATTTTGAGGTGGTGGCGGGTGCTTATTTAGAAACACGTGATAAAAAGACTCATTCAAAACTTAGATAAGGAAGAAGATTTTTCTACCGTTCACAATTTCATTATAGGATGACAAAGTTTATGATCAAACCTTGTACCACAACTCAATTTCTTCATCGGAACATTTAATCTCTCTTACTATCCAACTCAATAGCATCTCCATGTTCCCCATTCCCGTTCCCATGAAAAATGCCATTACCACTATCCTCCACCTCGTATCTGCATACATTTTCAGACGAAGAGCCGTTCCCAGGGCCCACGTGAACATCTTGATCACCAAAAGATTCGACTAAAGAGTCTTCATCTTCTTCTCCACCTTGATAGAATCCTCCATCAGCACCATGCCATTCATCATCATCACTATTTACTGCCAACGGATTAATTCTGTTTTGTAAAGCCCGTCTCCGGAGCATGAAGACATTAAAGTAATAGCTGACAATTTCCTTCTTTGTTCGTGTTGGGAACACCGCAGATAGGTGTCTCCAAAAATTTTTACCAAGCAACAATGGATTAGAGTAAATGACCTGATGAAAAATTTGTTGTTCTTCTTCAGTCCACTTGGATGCTACCTCCTCTCCCATGTCGAGAAATCCCAACTCCGCAAACTTCTCATCTCCGATTGTCTCTCTTAATTTTTCTCGTGCTTCCTTTGCATGTTGCTGTACACATTTTACGGAACCCCGATCCAGGCAGTTACAGTCTGCTTGGCCATGCACTTCTTTGATCCCATCAAACTTCAAATTTGGCATTGGGATGATACATGTTCCCATCAGTTTTTCTTCACTTTCATCGTCAACAAAGTAGCTGGGACTTGAAGTGTCTTTCCAGGTCGCATTTGGATCCCATGGCGGAACTTCAGCCTGATGATCTCGTCCAACAGGAATTTCTTTCCTCGGAGAACAATTCAACAAAAATGAATAAGGATCCCGGAACTGAACAGGGAGTCGTCTTGGAACACTAAAGTCGAAATATCCTTGAAAATGAGACCAGCAAAACCTGTCCTCGAATGCAGAATCTTCATCAATACTGCCATTTGATAAGGCTGTACCCATCTCTAACTCCTTTTCATCAATATTGGAGTAACTGCTGATGTCAGAATTTCCGTGCCTCTCATCAAACTTGTAGTTACAAAAGTTGCTGGCAGCTACACCTATAGCACAATATATTATTAAAAACAATAAGAGGAAAAAAAAATTCTGACTTGACATCAAGTTATACTGGAAAATGCTTAATTTGATGCATATAAACTTCACTGGAGACTGGGAAAGGTACAGAAACAGTATCTTCCTTTTCGAAAGTACAAATCAAAAGCAAAATATAATCGAGCTCCTCAATAGATATTCCTTACTTGATATATCAGTGTATGCAGAAAGTAAATGGCATATTTTACCTACAGTATCAGATTTTGCAGAAGTTCTACAAGAAGAAAAATCCTCAAAATATGAATTCAAATTGTTATTAAAACCAAGCTGTTTAGCATGCTTGAAGGAAAGCTCTGGAAAGTCGTCCTCTTGAAACGGTCGTTTGGTTCCCATCTTTTCTACTGCAGGAGAAAATAATGCAAATTACAATATTTAAAATGAAATTATGACCTGTAACATATCATAGTTACTGATTAACAAATCAAGAGATCTAGCATCAGATGCAAGAACAGAAAAGGCTTAGAAAAATCTGCATACTCCATAGAGACATAATGAATGCCTTATTGCTGCTTTGTATACTCTCTCAAGTTTCAAATCTGTCATATTGATAAAAGAAAAAATATTGAAGAGAATAAACAGAAAAAAATACAAGAGAGGAAAGAACTTTTAAAGCAAGGCGTGTATGCAATGCAGTGCCTTTACAAAAACTGGCACTACGCTTCAATTTAGGCAAGGAATGCTATCCGAAACCTCACACTAGACATCAGACGAACCAGTAGCCCAAAACCATGTGATCAAAGTAAATGTGACAAGAATACATAAATTTACTATGTCATTATGCAGTAATGCTAAATATGATGCTACTGACTAGAACAGTTAATGACAGCAAGTGCTAATTACCAGCAGTACCACCAATGAAATGCAAGGCACTGAAAATAGATTCAACTTAAGAAGTCCATTCTTCACAATTATTATGAATTATGAAGTTCATAATTCATTTCTTCATAACATTAGGTAATATAAAAACTAACACTTAATTTACACAACAATTCATTTTATGGTTTTTTTTTTTCTTTTTTCTTTTTCTTTTCAAGGTCATAATTAGTTATTGCTAACACCAGCTGGAAGCCAATGTTTATAGTGAACTGGTTTCTATTGTAAGGTATGCAATTTTTCTGAGTATTAGAGAACATCCCAAGATAAATAAAGGTTAAGCATTATGAAAGAAGGAATTTAATATTAAATTTTTTTTTCCCTTTTTGGAAAAATAATTTATGCACAAAAAATTGACGTCCAACCCAACCAGAACTCTTGAATGATTTACAAATAAATTTATTGTATAAAAATAAAACAAAAAAATTCCCCAGTTGTATCAAAAAACCCTAACCCTAGATTCACATATTCATTTCAATACCGAACATGAAGCTACGGAAATTCAATTCAGAAGAGGACATACCGAAACCCCAAGTCAATTTACAGATCCGATGGGCCCTAAGATGAATCCTCGAAATCGAAACCCTAGGATTCAGAAAGCCTCCAGGCAAAACAACAAATTCTTTCTATAACTATAGGGGAAAGGACGGAAACAAAATATCGATGACAAAATCCCAAAAAATTTATAGATTTGAAGGCTGTATTTACAGATCTGAGGATTGAAAGGGAAAAAACCTAGAAGTTTATAGATTCGATGGATGGGAACAATAACTGAGTCAATCGAAAGAGGAAAAATCCAAATTGGATAAAGAGAGTGTACAATTAAAGATTTAGAAGGTGATTTTGAAGAAATTTGGAGAAAGAGAATTGGGGAAAAGCTTCGTACTGTTTCGGTTGTTTTTGTAAAACGACGAGGATCCGAATAGAATACCGTCACGTATAGATGATGGACCCTCTTAAACTTACACGTGTCATAAGCTAATCAATAGCTTGTGAAGATTTGGTTTCCGTTGACCATTAATTGGCGTGCAATTATAACGACTTAACTCGGACTGCTCCACTAGAAAAACTAAAGATTAGAACAAAATTCGGCCATGTTTGAGACACGCACTTAAAAAAAATAAAAAAAAAATAATGATTTAATATCATTTCAATTACATAATTTTTTAATAAAATAATATTATACGTAATTACAAAATTTCTCCTAATTTTTAAATTTATATCCTTCATCAATCTACTATTTCAAAATATGTTCTTTCAAACTAATATGGTATAAACACACACTTGATTGATATACATTCATCTATGTGTTCAATTGAGATTTTTAAAGAGTTTTTGGAATTTAAAAAGTATAGAAGTATTAAATATATTTTTTTTAGACCCTCTAAAAGTATTGATGTAATCAATTGAGACTTTATAGACTTTTAAAAAATATATAACAAGTCACGGTATATTCAATTAAAACTTTTTAAAAATAATCTTAGAGTATTTAAATTTTAATGACTTCTAAGGATTTTTTTTATAAAAATATCTAGGTACTAACTTTTAAACATAAAAAATTCTTATAAAATTTCAAAGTTTTGTCTTTCATTAATCACAAAATTTTGGGGTACTTGCAAAAAAATAAAAAATAATAAAGATATTTTTAATATTTCTCTTTCATTTTTTCCTTCTATAAATATTAGAATTATGATTAAAATTTATTTTTTCTATTGTTTATATTTGTTTCTATTTATCTTTCTATGAAAAAATAAAATTGGTTCTTTATCATTTTTTTTCTTTTCTATTCTTTTTTTCATGAAAAGGTCTATTTTTTATTAAATTATAAATTTTTACATGACAAATTTATAATTAAATTTAAATATATTAAAGTTTTATTTATTTTTAAAGGTATATTATATTAATAATATTGAATACTGAATTTAATTTTTAGCATATATATGTATAATTTTGATTATTTATTTAATTAAGGTAAAAAAATTTAATCATTTAAAAAAAAATTTATTATATGAGAATGGGAAGTAGAAGGCGAGGGGAAATTGAAATTGTGAAAATCACCCCTTTGTATATGAAAATTTCATATTATTGTACTCGATTAATGTTAATTCTATTTCAAATTAAAGTCTTCCAAAATCTTTTGAATTTTATAAAAGTTTTCAAAATGAAAATCTATAGAAATCTAAGAAAGATTTTCGTTAATTCCATATAAATCTATGAAAAAAATCTACAAATTCCAGTAAAGTCATTACTTAAAAAATCCATTGAAGTTTTCAAAAGTCTTAATTGAATACACTCTTCTAAAATTATCTAGGCCCACATTCTTTCAAAATATATATTTTTAAACACTGATTTGACATTATTTGAACTTCACATTATTAAATAAAATAATATTACATGCAAATCTAAAATTTTTTCTTATTTTTTAATCACATGTTTCACATCAAAATACTATTCAAAAATGCATTCTTATGAAAATAATGTAGTTAAAACAAGGGCTTAGATTGTACTATAAGGACATTTTAAAGAGGAACTTTACTTATAAGATCATAGATATTATGGGGAAAATAGTTACATCATGTTTGGTTCAGTTATAAAAGTGTTGAATTTTAACTCAAATTTAACATTTAGTTTTAACTATATATTTTATACAATTCACAATTTTTCAACCTCACGTTCCAAAAACTGTTATTAAAATATAAGAAAAATTTTAAAGTGTGTTTTCAACTTGTTTTCAATTTTGCAAGTTACTGAAAATGTGTTTGGAGTGATATATTTGAAAATGTATTTTCGAAAATAAAGTTAAACTTATAACAAAAAACTTAAAACAAATTTTTAAAGTTATGAATATTTTCAATGAAATTCTGAAAACAAAAAAATCCAAATATATTGGAAAAAAAAAGCTTTTAACAAATTCCGCTCCATTAAAATGTGCTTTTGGAGAAAAATATATTTTGGAATAGTAATATTTTAAAAAATGTATGGTTAAAAAAATATATTTTGAGTTTACATGTAATATTATTTTATTGAATAATGTATCGTAAAATAAATGAGAGAAACAAATGCATTTTGGATGAAATGGAGTCTACATAGGGGCTAAAATTATAAAAATTAAAAATTCTAAAATATAAAATATAAAAAATATAAGAACTAAAATTTAAAAATTTAAACAAAATCAAATTAAAAAATAAAATTGATAAATTTTTAAAAAAAATAAAAAAAATTTTCAAAAAATAAAATTATAAAAATTAATATATAAATAAAAATTATAAAAATACTTCAAGCTCTTAATGATTATATCATAAAAAAAATTTAAAATAAAATTTTGAAAAATTAAAATTAAAATTCTGAAAAATAAAATAATAAAAAAAATATGTGGTTAAAAAGTTATGAATCTATTAAAGTATCACATCAAAGGAGAATCATTTTTTGGATGATTTTAATCCCCTATAATTCAATTATTTCAATAATACTTGACTTTTCATTTTTAGATATGTAATAAATACTACATAATTATT